AAAAGAAGAAGGGTCCCGACCCGAAACGTCAGCTTTCCTGCTCCTCTGATGCTGCCTGGCCTGCTGTGTTCCTCCAGCTCCAAACTGCGTTATCTCTGAAAGTAGTGAACTCATTTTACACATTCAAGTATAATCTTATAAAAGTCAGGTCTTGTGGATGCTGGAGATCTGAATGAAAAGGGAAGTGTTGGAGGAATTCAGTGGGTCTGGCAACATTTGTGGAGAGAGGAACAGAGTTAATGCTCCAAACCCAAAATGACTCTTCAGAGAGGATAGTCTTGACTTGGCCAAAATATTAAAAGTTTCATTTTTAGAGGAATGACAATTGATACCTAGCTACATAATTTAAGAACAAAGGAAAGACTTGCATTTTATAGCGCCTTTCACGCCTTCAGGATGTCCCAAAGTGCCTTAGGGTCAATTTAATACTTTTGAAGTGCAGTCATTCCCACAAAATGGGCGACTCAGAAGCCAATTGTGCGCAGCAAGATCCCGCAATCTGTATGATGAGATTTGTCTTAATGATGTTAGCTGTCAGACAAGGTATTGACCAGGATACCGGTGATAATTCCCTGTCTGTACTTTAATATATGCTGTGGAATTTGAGAAAGCAGACAAGTAAGGTCACTTGTGTGTGCAGGAACAGAAAGAGATGCTGCTGTTTGGTATCTTTCACTAAAATATGAGTTAATTTCTATATTTGGGATCACAAACAGAGATTGCTGAAAAAACTCGTCAGGTCTGACACCTGACCACTCAGGTCTGTGGAGAGACAGCAGAATTTACGTTTCGGGTCCAGTGACTCTTCTTCAGACCCTTCCCTTTTCGAGATGCTGGGAAAGCTCTAACTGTTGAGTGTGTGTGATTCTGTGACCCAGTTCAGAGAGCAGGTGAGTTCACTCTTATAACCCCTGGGTCACCTAGCCATACTCAAAACTAGACAGTAAATGTAAACTGATTTTTGAGCATGTGGGATCCACTTACAAGCAAGCCCAGTGACACTGAACCTGTAAGTCTCTGGAGAACAAATCTGAAATTTGTAACCAGTAAGAGTTAATGTTGTTTAATTTTAAAAAGTGGAGGAATTTGCAAACATTGCATCAATTGTCCTTTCCACTTTATTAAATCTCTCCTGCAGAAATTTCAATCATTTCTTTTCCCATTTGTTTAGGAGGAGTGACTGAGCAAACTGCACCCGTACCAAAGCCACGTGACCGTCCGCAATCCTTTACAGAGAGGTATCTGTGTTCCGGTTGGTTAACCAAGACTTTTGTTTAATATATCATAAAACCAAGAACTGTGGAACCTGGAACTCTGAAACAAAAACAAAAATAGCTGGAGAAACTCAACAGATCAGGCAGCACCTGTGGAGAGAAAGCAGAATCAACATTTTGGATGAAAGGGTCACTGGATTCTTTTGACTCTGCTTTCTCTCCACAGATGCTACCAGACCTGCTGTGTTGCTCCAGCAATTTATGTTTGTTTTTTCATTTGTTAGATATTGATATTGAACTTGTTAGAAAACAAGTTGTTTTATTTAACTGAATTGGACAGTGTTGTTGTCGGGGCACAGGGCTTGGACAGGGAACCAGGTTCTATTTTCAGTTAATATGACTCGCTGCATCAGTTGTGATTTTTTTTACCTGGTGGGTGACTGTTTGGTACTTCATGTTAGTCATTGAGATCTCTTGATGGCTTTGTGCACTGGATTGAATTTTTGTAATTCATACAGCCCTGTATCTCCTAGCTCCTCAGGCCGCTTTCAGTCTCTTCAAGAACATGGGAATCTGATCAGCTTCTTTCTGAATTAGTCTCCACTCCAATCATTGTGATTTTCCTTATGGCTGTTTTGAGAAATGGTGCTTGCCTCATTTTTCGCTGCTGTTCTGGCATGTCATCAATTGAGAGTCAAGACCGATGCTGACCATCTATTGGATTGGGGCAATGGATGACATTGTCCTTCTCTTGTGTGCGCGAAATCCTTTCCAGTAGTCATTGCTAGATGCTGATCAGGAAGTGTAAGCATTGGCTTTTTACACCCATCCTTTAATTAATTAATTTAATTATCATAGTGGAACGTTCGCTTCATCTAACCTGTCATCTTACCTTTCGCTCCTAACTTCTTGTTCACTCTCGCATCCCCCGACTCCCATCATTCTTAAATGAATATTTCTCTCCCTTTTGAAAGCCTGAATTCTCTCTGTATTTCTGACCATCTAGAGCATAGGACTGCATTATTTTAAAATTTATTTGTTATCCATCCCTAATTGACCTTGAGAAGGTGGTGGGTTGCCTTCTTGAGCCATTGTAGTCCATCATGTGTTGTTGCAATCACAGTGCTGTTAGAGAGTTTGAGAATTTTAGCTCCAGGTATCCATGATGAGTCCATGCTTGTGTTTGTACTTCATTCGAACATTCTCCCATCTAAATCTAACATAACTCTCTATTCCCTTCTGTCTCATATACCTATCTAATTTCCTCTTAAATCCATCTCTAACATTCACTTGAACTACTTCCAATGGTGATATGTTCCACATTGTCAATAACAAAGAAGTTTCTTCTGAATTTCCAATTGAACTTTCTGGTGATTATCTAATACTGATGGAATCTAGTTATACTGTTGCCCAGAAGAACTTTCTCCAGAAATGCATGCAGAATTCTAAATGTGGACTAAGCAAGGTTCAATGCAGTTTATCACACCTTCCCTACTTCTCAATTCTATCCCTCTAGAAGTAAGGTCTGGTGCTTGATTTGTTTTTATGGTCTTGTTAACCCCATTAGTGATTGCAGTCTCATTGGTGTAATTAATTACCAGTGTTCTTTTCTCTACATCGCCTAGACATGCACCTTCCTGGTAATAAGTGACCTCCTTATTCTTCCTATCACAACATACTAGCTCACATTTATCTATGTTGGACTTAATTTGATAATTAACTTCCATTCAGCCAGTTTATTCATGTCCACCTGTAACTATTTACACTCCTCTTCACGACAGCATGTTCCCTCTAAGTGGGTATCATCCACAAGTTTAGATCTGACAACTTTGATTCCAGAGTCCAAGCGGTTAGTGTAAATCGTGGACAGAATCTCAGCACTGATCCTTGTGGAGCAGCACTTCACACTTCCTGCCATTTTGAGAAAATATCCTTTTCTTCCACTCTTTTTTTTTTAATTTAAGCCAGCGACAGTCCATTCTGCCACTTATGCCTGACTCTAGTAGTGTATTCCTATTATTAATAAGGGTTCTAAGAGGAGAACCCACCTTTCAGTGGTTAACTAAAGTTAGGGAAAGTGTCAAATTTGAGGGAAACGCATAGAACTGCACTAAGACAAGGGACAGGTCAGATTATTGATCAGAATATTAAAAAATGGCATAGAATGACTGTAGTTTAACCAAAAGGAAGAAATTAGACTGTGAGACAAAGCTAGTTAGGAATGCAAAACAGATAGCAAGAGTTTCTACCAGTATTTAAAAAGGAAAGAGTAAGTAAAGTGAGTATTGGTCTCTAGAGAGTGAAAATGGGGAGTTAATAGTAGATAAACAAATGGCACATGTAACAAATAAATATATTGCTTCTGTCTGAGGATACAAAGAAAGTCACAGTAATGCCTGTAAATCAGGAGATGGAAGGGAGAAAGGATCCAGGTGCAATTACAATCACATGGAAAGTAGTACTGAGCAAACTGATGGAGCTGCAAGCTGGCAAGTCTCAGGGGTCTGATGGACTTCATCTTAAGGTCTTAAAAGAGATTGCTAATGAGGTAATAGATGTGTTCATACTGATTTTCCAAAATTTCCCAAATTCAGGAAAAGTTTCCTTGAACTAAAAAGTAGCAGATTTAACCCTCTATTCGGGAAAGGAAGAGGCAGAAAACAGGAAAATGTGGATTAGTGAGCTTGATGTCTGTCTTGGGAAAGGTATTAGAATTGATCATTAAAGAGATATAAACTACACAGTTCAAGTAAAAAAAAAAATCAACGTAATCAGGAACGGATAGCATGGTTTCATCAAAGAGAAATCATGTTGAACCAATTTATTGGAGTTCTTTGAAAGAGTGACACACATCAAGGGGAGCCTTTAGGAATGATGTAATTTCGTTGGAGGCATTTCATAGGAGGTTTACCAGATGGTAGCTGGAATGAACAGGTTGTCTTGTGAGGAAAGTTGGACAATCTGGGATTGTTTCCACTGGAATTTAGCGTGAGGAAGACTTGACTGAAGTGTTTTAAGACCCTGAATGGTCTTGACAAGATGGACTTAGAAAAGATGGTTGTTCTTGTGGGTCAGTCTAGGACAAGGATCACTTTTAAAATTAGGGGTCATGCTTTCAGGACAGAGATGAGAAGAAACTTTTGGCTGAGTATTGTGTGGCTTTGGAACACACTGCCTCAGAAGGCGGTAGAAGGAGGGTCATAGACAACTTTTAAGACAGAGGTGGATGGATTCTTGTTAGGCAGGGGAATTGAGAGTTATTGGAGGTAAGTGTGAATGTGGAATTTGAAACACACAGATCATTTGATCTTATGGTGGAGCAGACTCAAGGGGCAAATAGCGTACTTCTGCTTCTGTTTCGTATGTTTGTAAAATAATTCAATAAGGTTGAGAAAGCATGAACTTCCCTTTTGTAATCTAGTCTGACTACTTTATTTTTTATGTTTAGATGTTTTTCTGTTATATCTTTGAGTAAAGATCCTATTATCCTTCCTACTACCAGTGTTCAGCATAGTCCACAGTTTCAACTCTATTTTTGATTATAAGAACTATGTTCCCCATTCTGCTCACACTATTCTCTTTCCTGTCTCTCATCATTTTGACATTGCCATTTATTCTGTCTATTAAATACACTTGGATACAATCCATCCCAACTGTGTGTTTTGTCACTCAAGCCTGTGGAGCATTTCAGATATTGAAGCTGTAGAATTTTTGACTGCTTTCGGGATGAAGGAAGAAATGACTTTGCAGTGGAAATATGGTTGTCCTTTCACATCTGTCTTTTATTTGGATCAATAGTTGGGCTCTGATTGCAGGTTAAAATATGAATGAGGGAGGAAGGGAATCATCCTCCAGGAAAGTGTGTTTTGCAGCTTCTTCCCTGCCCTGACTGTCCCACTGGAAGGGCCTTTCTTCCAATTCACTTCTCAACTGGAGGAAGCATATAATTGAGAGTGAACTTGAAGCTGTCACATTGTTCAGAGGCTGCTGGATGCTGAGCTGCAAAGGGACGGAAGCTGTGTTGCTTTAGTCTGTTAAATGCAATGATCTTTCCTTCTTTTGAAAGTAATGTCTGGTGATCTTGCAGTGTGTTTGTTGGTGAGCAGTTACTTTTGGATAAAACTCAGTATCTCTCAAGTCACCAGTAATCATCTTAGTTTCTTGTTTGTTAAGGTTTTTCATTTCGAAGTCTGCAATGGCAATATAAAGCACAGGTATGGCTTAAATGGCAAGAAATGTAACTACTATCTGAAAAGCATGATCAAATTGAAAATCATGGCACAAATCATTCCCTAGAGCCAAAACTTCAGTATTTTATTTACATACCTTGTTTGGAAATGGATATCAACGTTAAAGTGAATAGTGTCATACAAAGTAATGCTACAACTTACAGACTGAAGCATTTGAATGCTTTACATGACTACATTAGTTTTAAAGCTGCTTGGGTATTTCTTGTCTGTCCAGTCCTAATCATGCCCTTTCCACCACCCCACAATTTGAATTCAATTTAGTAAAATTTCTGCAGTAACGCCTTTTGTAGGAAACGTGGCAGTTTTGTTGCCGTGGTTTTCTGATCATTTAATTGTTTCAAACAGGAAAGGCGAAGACAACAAACCTAAAGACCATCCTTGGATGGCATTGGTGAATTCTGAAGTAAAGAGAAGACCCGCACCCCCCCGGCCCGGAGCACCCACCAACCCCAGCAGCACTCAGCAAGAGACCACAGAATCCATTCCCTTAAATCCATTTGAAGTGGATGAGGAGGAGGAAACAAGCAATGTGTCTGAGAAAGTGCAGAGTGCAGCACCCATGGAAACAACTCCCAAATCAAACCATCCATGGTATGGCATTCAACCAGCCAACAGTCCTAGGAGCAAGAAGCGGCCTGCACCCCGAGCACCAAACGCATCCCCTTCAGGTGAGTTGGATACTGAGTTCCTGAGCTCTCAGCTCACTGTGGGTTCATGTTGGATATGTGTAGAATGTTTAGAGTGGATTATGTTCCTGAAAAGAGAGATTTTTGCATACAGAGATATCTAGAGTGGCAACAGTACTCAGTGATAGAGGGCTTGAAGAACAGCCCAATCTGAAGTCCTTTATTGTTTGTAAAATGACCTTTCTTTTCCAGAATTTCAGTTTTGGCTGCTCAGCATTGCCAAACTAATGAAAAGGGAGAGGGAGCTGGTGCTGCAGTTTGTGGATGATGTGCAAACGACAAGCAGCAAGATACTATGTAAAGTAACATACTACTTAAGGTCGCTGCAGGGTGAGCCCAGGTTCGAAGCTCATGAGGCACTCTAAGGCATTTTGGGCACTGGTAATGTCCCCTACGTCTGGGTCAGGTCAAACCTCTCCTTCCTACCTAGGTAAACATCCACAAAATATTACCAGATGTGTCCTCCCCATTATTTGGAACCTCAAATCTGTCTCAGTCTTCATGTCTGTTGAGCTAATGTTAAGGTATAAGTGTACATAATCTTTACAGATACAATATAGGATATAAAATACATATACAGTTATCCCAATATACGCAATCTGTTTTCTGTAGCTATTTACATAATTGTTCAAATTGGCCTGAAGGTACATTGTTGTTATCAGCAATTTAAAAACCCTAAAGAGTCAGTAA